TTTTAAATAGACACAATTATCTTTGTTAATTATTCCTCAATAAAGTTTTTTGAAAGAGAAAAAATATATATTCTCAAGAATCTGCAGCCAGAAGGAGGAGGAGGAGGGGAAGAAGACCAGTGAACCCTCTGTCCCTACACAAAGCAGGGTGCTGGTTGCAGCTTCCACCTGCTCTTAGCCCAGCTCCCAGTGGCCCACAGGAAGGCCCATGGGTACTTTTCCTCTTACACCTGCCCAGTGTGGTGGATGGAGATCAGGGGCTGGATAGGTCAGCAGGTGCCTGCCTCCATGAGGCCCTACCAGGTCATGTCAGGGGACTCAGCTCAGCTATGAGCTGGATTGACCCACAGTCAGTTGTGACCCCTAAAGAGTCCATTGAACAATGAGTGTCCACCGTGCACTGACTTACTCTCCTCTCCCCCTGCTTAGGTGTTTGGGAAAATTGCCCTGAATGACACCACAGAGATCAACCGGAACAACAACTTTCAGACCTTCCCCCAAGCTGTGCTCCTTCTCTTCAGGTGAGTCTCTGAGGACAGATGCATACAAACACACCTACATGATGCAGCCCTACGGTCTGGATGCAGAATGAGAGGGAACTCTTCCAGGGGACTGTGCAGGGAGAGAAATCTGTTGTTTCATTGTTATTTGCAATACTTTCCACTGAGCTGCCCACTGGTCACTGGCTAGTAACCACCCAAAAGCACTAGGTCGTCACAAGTCTAATACTGAAAGCACCATGGTTTGGAAGCAAAACAGGCTTCAAGCCAAGATTGTGACACATTCGCTGTGTAAGACACCTAACTTCTCTGAGTCTCAGCTCCCTTGCAAACAAGTACAGCTATACCAATGTCAGTGTCATTTGCTGTAGTGGGTTATTATGTCCTCATGCACTTAGTCTCCTCCTCATTTTAGCCAGCCATGAGCCTTCACCCCTCTTGGAAGGCCACCACCTCAGGCCTAGCTGTAGAAAAGAGTGTTTCTCAGCCTGCTCCTGAGTGAGTGAGTCTATGCTGCAACCTACTTCTTCCTCATCTGACTCCTAATGACCTCTTTGGTCCTTCTCAGTTTCCTGTTCCTCACAGCCTGGAACTCTGGGGCCCCTATCTAGACCAGGGCTGGCAGATGAGAATGATTTACCCCATCCCTGGACCAGACGACTTCTAAAGTCCATTCCAGATCATATATTCTACATATTATGGCCCTGGGAGAGGCAGTGAGCTCTCTACCATTCCCTGGGGTCCCTTTCCAGAAGATCCAGAGATCTATCAGACAGCATCACTTTCACCAAGTTCTATCAAATCCTTTCCCCACACCCAAGCTCAAGTATCATTATTGCTCAAAATGTATTAAATCAAAACACTTAAGCCTGTGCCATATTTAAATATCAGAGCTGAACACAGATATAAGACTGAGCACATGGGTCTATCTCCCCTCCTGTCCTAAAGCCCTTGATGACAGAAGATATTTCTTAAAAGAATAAACCCATAACAATACTAAGGTTGGGGGGGGGGGACATGAAAGAGTGCTGTTACTCAACCAGGAATGTTGAGGAATTTCTAAATGGAAGAAATCAGATGGGGTTCAATTGACAAAGGAACAAGATCTGAAGAAAACACCTTCCCAACAATATGTGGCCTGTGAAAAAAGTGAGAGCACTTCCTGGATCCACAGGTGCACAGCACAGGAGAGACCATGACCAGGCCAGCTCCTCAAGGACCTGTATTTGGAGAGCATTTGCTAATGCTCACAAGCTGAAAGCAGCAGCACTGAACATCACACCCCTGGGCTTTGGGGTCTGAGAAGTAGAACAGGTCCCCCCAAGGAAATCCACCCTCAGAGATGCTACCTTCCCACCTCACCTGACAGCACATCTTCTCTTTCTTCCATGATCTCCAAAGAGTCTCTCTAATGAAAATTTGATCCACAGAGTTGTGAACTGGGTTCTCAAGCACAAATAACAGTCAATAATAATACCAAAGTATTGGGGGGAAACTAGTATCAATAAAGAAAGGCACCATGCTCAATTAGCAGATGAATGAACACATGAGGAGGAAAAAGAATATATGAAGCTAAAAGATTTGAAAATAAATATAATTCATATCTTTAGAGAGATTGCAGAGCATATTACATCTGTTAAATTAAGAAGGAGGAGGAGAAGTGGTTTTTTTTAAGTTCATTTATTTTGAGAGAGAGAGAGCAGGGGAGGGGCTGGGAGAGAGAGAGAAAGAGAATCCGAAGCAGCCTCTGTGTTGACAGCTCTGGGCTCAGTCCCACGAACTGTGAGATAATGACCTGAGCCAAAACCAAGAGTCAGATGCTTAAGTGACTGAGCCACCCAGGCACCCCAGAGAAGTCATTATTAATAAGAACAAATTAAAGAAAGAACTCAAAAAAAACATACAGTTGTTGAAATATTCAGAAAATGGGCACAGCTAAAGAATGAGGTACTGAGCTGAAAGGTCAAACCAGGATTCTCTTAGTACACAGCCAAAGGCACAAAAAAAACTGAAAATATAAAATAAAAATTAACACATGGAGGATAGAACTGAAAATCCCATCTTTCTCATACAAATTCAGCTAGAAAAGACAGAAGGAATGGAGAGAAGGAAATGAAGGAATGATCAAAGAAAATTTCATATAAAGATCTGAGCCTTCAGATTGCAATGGCCTACTAAATGCAGAATAAGTTTGTCAAAAAGTCCCTTAGACACATTATGATGAAGTTTTAGAATACCAAGAATAAAGAAAATATCCTTAAAGCTTCCTAAGAAAAAAAAATACTTTCAAAAGTGTTCCTGGGAATGCAAGCTGGTGCAGCCACTCTGGAAAACAGTATGGAGGTTCCTCAAAAAACTAAAAATAGAACTACCCTATGACCCAGCAATTGCACTACTAGGCATTTATCCACGGGATACAGGTGTGCTGTTTCGAAGGGACACATGCACCCCCATGTTTATAGCAGCGCTATCAACAATAGCCAAAATATGGAAAGAGCCCAAATGTCCATCGATGGATGAATGGATAAAGAAGATGTGGTATATGTATACAATGGAGTATTATTTGTCAATCAAAAAGAATGAAATCTTGCCATTTGCAACTACGTGGATGGAACTAGACGGTATTATGCTAAGTGAAATTAGTCAGTCAGAGAAAGACAAAAATCATATGACTTCACTCATATGAGGACTTCAAGAGATAAAACAGATGAACATAAGGGAAGTGAAACAAAAATAATATAAAAACAGGGAGGGGACAAAACAGAAGAGACTCATAAATATGGAGAACAAACTGAGGGTTGCTGGAGGGGTAGTGGGAGGGGGGATGGGCTAAATGGGTAAGGGGCACTAAGGAATCTACTCCTGAAATCATTGTTGCACTATATGCTAACTAATTTGGATGTAAATTTAAAAAAATAAAAAATAAAACAAGTTAAAATTGAAAAAATACCAATTTTCATTATACTTGGTATTAGCAAAAGTACATACTAGAAGACAAAGGAATAATGTATTCAATATTATGAAGAAAATGTACTTTTGGACCCAGACTCCTATAATGCAGCCTAATTAGCACTGTAACAAAGCAAAATAGATTCCAAAAGCATAAGAACCCAGAAAGTTTACTCCCTCACAGAAACAACTACACAAGGATGCACTTCCACAGAATGAAAAATTAATCTAACAAATAGAATGAACAGAGTAATATTAGCAAAGAAGCCATGAAGTTTATAGTTATGAGTTATGAACAAAGAAATTATAAACCTTATATTAAATCTAAATAGTTGTTAAGGGAGGTATTAGTTATTAAAGAATTGTTAATTTTTAAGTGTAATAATTATATTGTGGTTACATAAAGTTATCATTTTATTTTTTAGATGCATATTGAAATATTTAGGGTTGATATAATGATATTACATGAAGTTTGGGATTTGCTTTAAACTATTCCATCACAGAGATAAAAGGTGCCGTATAGGGAATATAGTCAGTGGTACTATACTAGTGTTGTATGGTGACAGATGGTGGCTACACTTGCAGTGAGCAGAGCATATAGACTTGTTGAATCACTGTGCTGTGCACCTGAAACTAATGTTAACACTGTGTCAACTACTTCAATTTTTTTAAAAGGTGAGAATCCAAAATACAAAAGAATAAAATAAAATAATATAAAATAAAATATTCCAGCGAAAAGGGGAGAAGGGTAATTTGGGGGAGATATATGAAACACACACAGCAAAATATTGATGATTGTTAAGATTGGGTGATGGGTACCTGGGGTTTCTTTATAATTTCTACTTTTGTATATGGTTGAAAATTTTTGTAATAAATTTTTAAATAAGAAATAATAACTGTTAAGGGAAAATGTCCAAAACCTCAATAGCAATTTGCAAGTAAAAACCTTAAAATTATCTCAACAAAGTCAGAAGAATGAGGTGGTAGAAGAATAAGAAACATGAAAGTGTGCTGACATTCTTCTCTTGTTGTAGAGAGGAAAAGATGCTATTCAACCCTATGCACAGCCAGGGGAAAGTGTGTAAATATATATGTTAAATATTTGAAGGTCAACCATTAGAAAAACAGAAATGGAAATGTGTACATTCCAAATCACTAGAGGGGGCAAAAATCAGCAAGTAAAACCTTGGCAATTCCACAAAAGGAAGGAAAGGCAAAGGAAGGAAGGAGGAAGGAAGGTGGGAAGGAAGGAAAGAAGGAAGGAGAGAGAAGGGAGGGAAAGAAAATTAGAAAAGAAAACAAGATGGCAGGAATAAAAGCAAAGATTAATAATCACTAAAAATTAAATTTTTCTATTAAAAGATAGATACTCCAATGTTGGTTTTAAGAAATCTAACTGTAGCCTGTTTATAATATAGTAAAATAAAATGATCTAAAGAAAATAAAAATAAAGGAATGGAAAAAGAACAATGCTTAAAAAAAAATAGATGTAGTAATAACAGTATCAGAAGAAATAAAATTCCAAATGAAAGGCACTAAATAAGACAAAGAGGGATATTTGATATAGATAGAAGGTATAATCCACCAGATTACATAATAATCACAAAACTACATGAGCCTAACAATATAATTTGGAAATATATCAATGAGACTAATAGAATAAGGAAAAAATGAACACTCACATACACACACACACACACACACACAGAAATACACACAATGGGAGATATGCCAAAAATGACAGATCAAATAGAACAAAATAAAAGAAAGGGTAAAGAATATCTAAAAACACAATTGATAGGGGCACCTGGGTGATTCAGTTGGCTGAGTGTCCAGCTTCAGCCACTCACAGTTTGTGAGTTCGAGGCCCACATCATGCTCACTTCTGTCAGCACAGAGTCTGCTTAGGATCCTCTCCCCTTCTCTCTACCCCTCCCCCACTTGTGCACGCATGCACACACATGCTCTCTCTACCTCAAAAATAAATATTTAATTTTTAATTAATTAATTAAAATTCAAAAAACACACAACTGACAAATTTAATGTAATAAATTTGTACTCAATAAATTGCAAAAAAAAGTTATTTTTAAGCACCCAGAAACATTCACAAAAATTAGCCAAGATTTAAGTCACAGAGAAAAATTCAATAAATTGTAAAACTTCCCCTGACTCCAATATAGCAAAAATTATAAATTAACCACAAAATCAGTAGTCCCTCCAAAATCTATTCATGTAAATGTTTTGAGTCACTGATCTAAATAACTCAAAGCTGAAGCTTACATACTTCTTAGAAATGAAAAGTGAGAGCAGTACATCTTAAATTTATAAGACGTATCAATCAATACCAAAGAAAATTTCAAAGCCAAAATTTTATTTTACAAATTTATAATAACCAAAACAATGGATGGAAAAAGAATAGCAAAATAACCCCTAAATATGAAATAACTCACTTATTAAAATAAAAGCAGAAATTAATAAAATATGAAACAAAAATATTTATCAATAGACCCTAAAACTAAGTCTTTGAAAATACCAGTGAATAAACAAAACTTCATCAAATCTAATTTTTTTAAAAAGACACATCAAAAATAAGAAAAGAAATACAATTATAGATATGCAAGAGATTTTCAGAATGATAAAATATGAACAAATTTATGTCAAATACTTGAAAATCCAGTAGGCACTTTTATATAGGAAAATATAAATCACAAAATTATCTTAAGAGCAAATTTTGTTTAATTAGTCACAATAGAAATTGAAAAGGTAATCAAAGTTTTAGTCCTCAAAAAGTCCCAAGATCCAGTATTTTTATGTGTGATGTCTACCAAAATATCAAAGAATAGATCATCCCTGTGTTACATATGTATTAAGAAAGGGGAAAAAAGCAAGAAGTATAAATATGAAAACGTGTAGACATAACTGTCATTGTTGGCAAACAACAGTCTAATCCAGGTAGAAAAAACAAGCAAATCAACTCAAAAACCTTATAACAATTAATAGAATCAGTAAAGTGGAAGATTAACAAAAGAAAACAATCACTTTCCTGTACTGGAAATTATTAGTTTGGTCAGCCTACTTTAACAAAATATGAAATGAGTGGCTTAAACAACAGACATTTCTTTCTCACACATCTGGAAGCTAGAAGTCTGAGATCAAGGTCCCAGTCAATTCAGTTCCTGGTGTGAGCCCTCTTCCTGGCCTACAGACAGCCACCTTATTGCTGTGTCCTCATATGATGAAAAAAATGGAAAGCTCAAGTCTCTCCTTCCGTTATTAAAAAGACACTAATTTTATCATGGGGGACCCAGCATTATGACCTGATCCAAATCTTATTATCTCCTGTGGCCTCACCTGCAAATTTATTGAGGCTTAAGGCTTCAACACATGAATTTGGTGGGGGACACATTCAGTCTATACCAGGTAATTAGTAAATAGAGAAAAGAGCACATACTATCACTTTTCCTAGTCAACATTATACTGCAAGTTTTATCCAATGCAATAAGAAAAATAAAAAGTAAGAATTGCAGAAGAAACAAAATTAAATGCCAAAAAATCAATTGCCAAACTCAACAACAACAGTTTTAAAATGGGCAAAAGTCTTGAATAGACATTTCTCCAAATATCCAAAGAAGATATATAAATGGCCAATGAGCATGTGAAAAGATGTTCAACATCACTAATCATAAGGGAAATATAAATCAGAACTACAGTGAGATACTACCTCATATTCATTAGGATACCTACTATCAAACAAAACAAAACAGAAAACAACAAGTGTTGGCAAGGATGTGGAGAAATCGGAACCCTTGTGCCCTGTTGGTGAGAAAGAAAAAGGCATAGCCATTGTGTAAAACAGTATGACGATGACTCAAAAAATTAAAAATAAAATTACCATATGAATCCTTGCACAATGTATAGGTAAATCAAATCATCATGAAGTACACTTTAAATATCTTACAACTTTGGGGGCACCTGGGTGTCTCCATCTGTTAAGCATCCAACTCTTGGTTTCAGCTCAGGTCGTGATTTCAGAGTTTGTGAGATGGAGCCCCACATGGGGCTCTGCACTGATAGCACAGAGCCTGATTGGGATTCTCTCTTTCCCTCTCTTTCTGCCCCTCCCCAATGTGTGCCTGTGCACTCTCTCTCTCTCTCTCTCTCACACACACACACACACACAAAATAAACATTCAAAAAAAGAAAATAAATAAATACCTTACAATTTTATTTGTCAATTATACCTCAGCAAAACTGAAAACGAGTTGGCAAGTCCACAGAGCAATGGCATTTGTCCTGCACTGACGACCAGAGCATAGATTGGACAAACCTTTGGAGAACCAGGAATACCTAGTGAAAATGAAGACGACCCTAACTTCCACTTTCTAAGCAGATATCCAAGGCATGGACCTGCATTTTGATTGCAGTCTTCTTTATAATAGCAAAAAAGAAAAGAAAAACCTTAAGCAGGACAATGGGGTTTTTTTTAATGGTATATACATAGAGTATACTGCTATAGGGTAGTTATGTTGAATGAACTAGAACTAAATGGATAAATCTTAACATGAATTGCAAACTTAACATGAATTGCAAAAAAAGGGACTTTTCAGAAAAGGCAGTTTGTCACCATTTATATATAGTTTTAAAACATTCAAAACAATGATATATATTTTCGTATCTGATAGTGACTGTATCAGACCATTCAGGGAATGATAAACACCAAATTCAATTCAGTAGTTCCCTCTGGGCAGGGAGGATGGCACAAGGGGTAAGAGAAAGATCCAGAGATATGAGATGGGCCCCATGGGTGGTAGACTCTCTCACCGCTCTCCCCTAGGTGTGCCACAGGGGAGGCATGGCAAGACATCATGCTGGCCTGCATGCCAGGGAAGAAGTGTGCCCCCGAGTCAGAGCCCAGCAACAGCACGGAAGGGGAAACGCCCTGTGGCAGCAGTTTTGCCGTCTTCTACTTCATCAGCTTCTACATGCTCTGTGCCTTCCTGGTAAGCCAAGGTGGGGCTGAACAGCCATGGGTATGAGTGTGCAGTTCAAGGCAGCCCAGCTCTCTATCTACCTTTGCAGCTTGCAGTCAGAGCAACTCCATCAGAGGAACTAGCTTGCAGAGACTGAGTTAGGAGGAATGTCCAACCATCAGACAAGGACACAAAGCCCTGGGCCAGAGTGAGCCCAACCAACATCTTTCTTGCCCATTCTTGGCTCTTGTGATGATGTCATTGTACTAGAGGACAGAGGGGATGTGTGTGGAGGCCTAGAGGCAACCTGTATGTTTTTGACACTTTGATGCAGAGTGCAGGAAGGGTGGTGGATAAAGCTGCCCTCTGTCCTTGGCAGCGCTACCCAGCAATTGTGTATGAGAGAAACTGTCCAGCCCACATGTGGGGTTCATCCAACCCTGCTCTGATGCAAGCAAATTCATACCCAAGAGACCCAAGTTCCAGGGACTGGTGTTTTAAATGGTGAATATAGCTGGTCTTTAGAAACACGGGCTTCTGCCACACATGGCACCGGCTGGCAAAGAGGATTCAAGTGTACAGGAGGTCCTCTTGTAGAAACTCATCATATCTCTGTCCTCGGCAGATCATCAACCTCTTTGTAGCTGTCATCATGGACAACTTTGACTACCTGACAAGAGACTGGTCAATCCTTGGTCCCCATCATCTGGATGAATTTAAAAGAATCTGGGCAGAGTATGATCCTGAAGCTAAGTAAGTTCCCAGAGAGAAAGACTGATTCCCAAAACCCAGAGAACATTATGTGACCACACCTATAGGAGAGGTTCAGAACAGTTTAGCATTGAGTAGATCGACTGGAAACACTGAACTGCACCAGTCCCCAGGGCCAAAGGTCAAAAGGGCCAGTGATACGCCAGGCATCTTTGGCTAAGTCAAGAACATGTCTGCTATTTTCAGTTGGACAGAAGGATGGGGGATCCTAGTGTCAGGAATAACTAGTAAGTATTCAAGTTAAAATATTTAGTCAAGTAGATCTCACTCCATTCTTGCTTCAGGTTCAAAGATACCCTCATAGGTCCATCACATTCGGTTGACGCTCAATAAATGCCTTTTGGTCAGATGGTTAGATTGCAGCAGCAAGTATCTGTAAGAATCTCATTGTACTCCTGAAAGTCTCTTCCACCTTAAGCAAAGCACTGGTGGAAAATTGTTCATTAAAATGTATATATTGGTTTTGGAGTTTTACCATGCAATTCTGCAACTCTGCACCAAGTTTGACCAACAGAACAATAGCTTTGGAGAGCCCAGTACTGAGTCCTGGGCTGCTAGTCGAAACCACGACTCTTGACTGATCTTTGACTCCTCTCCTTCCTCTTTTAGGGGTCGTATCAAACACCTAGATGTGGTGACCCTGCTCCGGCGGATTCAGCCCCCACTGGGTTTTGGGAAGCTGTGCCCTCACCGCGTGGCTTGCAAAGTAAGAGATGGCCTGAGTTCAAAGGAGAAAAAGAAAAAATATGGAAGGGAAGAGGCCTATTTGTCTTGTGACCTTGGTCAGACCTTGATCCTTACAGGGATTGAAGACAATATTTTATGTGCCTAAAGAAATGAACATGGGCCAGATTATATTTTGAGGTTCCTACCAACAATCAGTCCTCAGACACCATAAAGGAAAGATGAAATGGATGCCTCATGACCCAACCAGCCACATGCCCAGTCCCATCAAGCTGCACCACCTAGGCATCCTAGAAGACTTCCAGCCAAGGACAGATGGATTAGGGGTTCTCTTCCTGGGATCAGGGGGCTATTAGAGTGTCTATGTATCAGCCTCAGGGACCTGTAAATCTCTAAAATTGTGTGCAAAATCACTGAAACACTCACAAATTGTACCAGGGAGAGGATCCATCATGTTCGTATTTCTAAGTGAGTCCATGACCCCATAAAAGTAAAAACAAGCATCCTAGTCTCTTTAGACCTAACTGTTGCTCATGTGGCCCTCACATGACCCTGAGAGTGAGCGCCCCCTTCAATTGTGTGTCCAGGCACCTCCCTTACCTCATTATAATCCCAACCAGGTAGCCCCACAAATGCTGAAGGGTATTGTTTCCACTCTCTCCCCTCTTCTTTCAATCCCCATTTCCACCACTCTGTACTCCTTATTGGAATAACAATGAGCTGAAAGGGGTTAGGGAAAGTGAGATCAGAGAGCTGTATAGAAGAGGCTCAAATAGAAAATTTTAACTCTGTCGATAAAGCATTCATGGAAAATGGAGAACTGAATTGTGCTCTGTTTTACTCATTTTTTTCTCACTTGCATCTCCACCTTGTTCCAAAAAAGATGTTAGAAGATTTCCAAGGGTATAGAAGATAAGACCAAAAAAAAGAGCACAAATTAAATGTAAAGTCAAAGCACAATGGACAAAAGAGCAGGGACAAATGTGGCCTGCACAAGGTGACAGTGTGTCTTTGTGCCTTCCAGACTGCCTGGGTGTTGAGCTTCCCCACGGCCAGTCCACAATTCACACTGTCCTTGAGAGTCAAGAAGATCCAGTCACTCAGGAAAATTATAAACCTTTTTGGCACTATGGTTAATGGGACACCATACGATCTAACGAATAAGATCTTTGACCACATCTTGAGAGCAGATGCCAGAATGGTGCTCTTTCTCATAATTACTCTGGTGTGTGCTGAGGGCCGCACACCAGGGCACAGTGCAATAGCAGCTATTTTGGGTGGTGAGAATGGAGGGAAAAGGGCAATCTGATCCAATCCAGTCAACAAGCTTTTAATTCAGCTTGATGCAGAGGTATATTTTTCAATATACAGAAAAGAAGATACACTACACCTCCTGCATGCAAACCTGCCATTACTGTCTCTCTTGTCAAGGCTTTGGATGAATGCTGCTGGCAGGTGGGCTCCTGGCAAATGCCTGGCATGCAGCTGTTCTTCGTTGCCAGTAGAAAGCACACCCATATGCCTGAGCAGACATTTGAGCAGAGGAGGGGGTTGTGTGGGCTTACCATCCTTTTGTGGAGGCAAGGGTCTAATAAGGACAATTTCCATTCTTCCTTCACTCTGTGTGGTAGGGTGAAAGTACTTTTGGCAGAGCTGAGATTCTCCCCAGAACAGATTTTGAATACATTTTAGTGACCCATGCCTCAACCCCCACCTGCTCCCAACACACACACAAGTTTCAAGGCTCCCTCCTGGCATTCTCCTGCCATGGTGGTTCTGTAGGTCCTTTGAGAACTGTTTGCTGTAATCACCAGCTTTGCCTCCCTTTCTCCTCCAGCGTCTGGTCTCCATGAACATGCCTCTGAACAGTGATGGGACTGTCATGTTCAATGCCACCCTGTTTGCCCTAGTCCGGACAGCCCTGCGGATCAAAACAGAAGGTAAGGGTCATCTGAGGGCCACTGGGAGAGCCACTCAGAAGGTCTAACAGGTTAACAAAAGAGGAAACCAATAGGCTATAAAGTGCTCCCAGGATCTTCCCATCCTGTGTATCAGAGCAGCGGCTCAGTGATAACCTTCACATGCTGAAGAGGCCTGGCCTGCTCATGTTTCCTTTGCTCCTTGAATGGCCTTTTGGCCTCTAGCCTATTTATTTTGAACCCTAGCTTTCCATCAATTTCTATGAATGATTCTGGGTGATATCTTGAAGTCAGAGCTTATAGTTCAAAAGCAGAAGGTGATGAGTGTTACCTGAAGCAGGACTAAGTTCCATCTAAATGAAATTTTACTGACTGTGTGGATCTCTCAAATGTTTACCTTTCTTTTTAAATTAGAAGTGTCAGGAAGGGGTCATATTGGCAAATGGTGATTATGGTCAAGGTAATCACATACAATTATACAGGCTGTGCCTGGATCAAGGTGCTCAGCTAGCTGACAGGTGTGGGTTAAGATCTCACCTGTGCTTTGCTAGCCGGGCCATGCTCCCTCAGGGATGTGTCCACCTGAAGGGATGCCTTCTGGTTTGCACAAATGTGCCCTATGGGCTAGCAGCAGCCTTGGCTGAGATAATCAGCTGTCTTTGTAATTGATAAGTATTTCTGAACCACTCTGTGGAAAAGGCTATATAGAATGTACCTAAGAAGATGCAATTGCTCTCCAAGAGCTTCTAGCTTAATTACAATGTTTCCTAGAGTGTGGTCAAAAGACCACCTGCCTCAAAGTCAGCTGTTGAAGCTTGTTTAAAACTTGATAAGGCATTTATTCTCTCTCTACTTCAGTTTCTTCATTTGTAAAATAAGAATGATAATGATGTGTGGGAATTCAGTTCAGTGAAGAATCCAAAGAAGTGCCATTTCTCAGTTAAATCCTTCCACAAAATAATAGAAACATCTACAATGAAGGAAAACAAGAACCAGGCCAGCAAGACACATGTCAAAGTAATGAGCTAATCTTTAAAAAATTGAAAATAGTTCAAGTTATGCTGCCAAACTAAAGAGAAACAAAGGCTGAAGGAGGCAGTCTGAGATTCTGGTGTAAGAAGACCCTGAATTCACCTCCTCCCAAGGACACACCAAATCTACACCCACATATAGAGCAATTCACCCTGAAAAACAGCTTCTGCACAACAAATGTTAGAAGCACCACACAGAGAATGGCAGGAAAGATGAAAACATGGTAACCATGGGAACACCCTGACCAATGTGATGACCTGCAGCGAGGAGGGATAGCACTGAGGGACCTGCACCCAGACTCACCTACCCTGAGACACAGGGGGAAAACAGGCAACAGGACTGTAAGTGAAGGAAATCCATTTACATCCACTAAATGGTGGGGGGAGTACTGGAATTCTTTCCAGGTTGGAGGTACCAAAAAGCACCATTGTTTACATTCCTCTTTCACCTTGATAATGCAGATGAGAGCAGGGTCTAAGTGCTCTAGTTGGCCTGATAGGGTTGCTCCAATGAGCCCCAGGCCCTTAGCCCACACCAGCTTCCCCCAGGTAGCCCCCACCCATGCCCACCAACTCCAGCCAACCCACCAAGGTGACCTGGTCTCAGTGCACCCCAGGACACCCCCAGCCAGTGTCTGTTGAGCTCCAGCCATTCCATCAGGGTGATCCAAGCACCATATGTCCCTTGACTCCCTGAGACCCTGCTGGCTTCAACTCCAGCCAGCCAGCCAAAACTTCCAGGCACATGCAATCTACACAGGGGATGTTCCTACATGAGGTCACTCCTTGAGAATAGGAGAGGTAGTTATTCCACCTAATTTGTAGAAACAAAAATTGAAAGTCAAACAAAATGAGGAGACAGAAGAATATGTTCTAAATGAAAGGGAAAAATAAAACCCGGGGGCGGGGGGATGGGGGGGTGGGAAATCCCTGATGAAATGGAGATAGGTAATTTACCAGACAGATTTCAAAGTAATGGCCATAAAGATACTCACCAAACTCAGGATAAGAATGAAAGAACACAGTGAGAACTTCAACAAAGAGTTACAAAATATAAGAAAGTACAAAACAGAATGTATTGTATCTAGTGTATTGAAAAATACACTAGAAATCAACAGCAGATTAGATGATACAAAAGAGTGGATCAGCAATCTGGAAGACAGAATAGTGGAAATCATCCCGTCAGAACAGCAAAAAGAAAAAAGAATTTTTAGAAATGAGAATTGTTTTAAGAACCTCTAGAACAACATCAAATGCACTAAAATTCACATTATAAGGGTTCCAGAAGGAGACGGGGGGGGGGGGGGCAGGAAACTTATTTGAAGAAATAATGACTGAAAACTTCCCTAACCTGGGAAAGGAAACAGACATCCAGGTCCAGGAAGCACAAAAAGTCCTAAAAGAGAACCCAAAGAGACCTATACCAAGGAATATTATTAAATTGTCAAAAGTTAAAGACAAGGGGAAAAAATTTTAAAGCAACAAGAGAAAAACAACTTGTTATGCCCAAAGGAACCCCCCGTAAAACTATCATCATATTTTTCAGGATAAATTTTGCAGGCCAGAAGTGAGTGGCATAATATATTCAAAGTATTGAAAGAAAAAACTGTCAACAAGAATGCTCTACCTGGCAAGGTTATCATTCAGAATTGAAGGTGAGATAGTTTCTTAGACAAGCAAAAGTTAAAGGAGTTCCTCGCCACTAAACCAAGCTTATCAGAAATGTTAAATGGTCTTCTTTAAGCAGAAAAGAAAAGGCCATAACTGGAAATAGTACCTGAAGAAAAAACTCACTGATAAAGAGAATATATATTTATATACTTATATTTATCAGTAAATCAGCCACTTAAAAAGATAGTATGAATAGGGGTGCCTGGATGGCTCAGTCGGTTGAGCATCCAACTTCAGCTCAGGTCATGATCTCGTGGTCTGTGAGTTCAAGCCCCACATTGGGCTCTGTGCTGACAGCTCAGAGCCTGGAGCCTATTTCAGATTTTATGTCTCCCTCTCTCTCTACCCCTCCCCTGCTCATGCTCTGTTTCTCTCTCTGTCAAAAATAAATAAACATTTAAAAAAGATAGTATGAATATTAAGAAAACAAAAATAGTAATTTAACTATAACTACAGTAAGTAAATAATGCACAAAATAAAAATATATCAAATATAACATCAAAAACATAAAATATTGTGGGTGGTGGGTAAAAATGTAGTGCTTTTAGAATGTGTTCAAACCAAAAACAAATTTTGTTCAAACTTAAGTGACTATTAGCTTAAAATAAACTGCTATATATAGAGAGAGAGCAATATTTATGAACATCATGGTAACCACAAACCAAAACCTACAATAGATCAACAAAAATAAAGAGAAAGAAACCCAAACATAACTAAAGAACCATCAAACCACAGTGGAAGACACCAAAAGAAGAAAAATGAAACAGAGAAGAACTGCAATAATAACCAGAAAACAATTGACCAAATGATGATAGTACATACCTATTAATAATCACATTAAAAATAAATGGACTAAATGCTCCAATCAAAAGACATAGGGTGTCTGAATGGATAAAAAACAAGACCCATTTATATGCTGCCTATAAGAGAGTCATTTCAGATCTAAAGCCACTCGGAGACTGAAAGTGAAGAGATGCAAAAAGATATTCCAGGGAAATGGAAACAAAAAGAAAGCTAGTGAGGCAGTACTCATATTAGACAAAATAGACTTTAAAACAAGGACTATAACAAAATACAAAGAAGAGCATTACACAATGAAAAAATGTTCAATCCAAGAAGAGGATATAACATTTGTAAATATTTATACACCCAACATAAAGTATTTAAATATATAAAGCAAATATTAATAGGCATAAAGGGAGAAATTGACATTAATACAATAATAGAAAGGAACTTTAATATCCCACTTAATCAATGGATAAATCATCCAGAGAATCAATAAGGAAATATTGACCTTAAATGACACATTGGACCAGATGGACTTAATAAATATATATAGAACGTTTCATCCAAAACAGCAGAATACACATTCTATTCAAGTGCACATGGAACATTTTCCAGGATAGTTAAGCCACAAAACAAGTCTCAGTAAATTCAAGAAGACTGACATCATATCAAGCATCTTTTCCAAACATAATGGTATGACACTAGAAATTAATTACAAAAAGAAAACTGGAAAAAAACCCCACAAACATGTGGAGACTGAACAACTTGTTACTAAACAACCAATGGGTCAACAAAGAAATCAAAGAGGAAACAAACAAACAAAAATACCTTGAGACAAATGAAAATGGAGATACAACTTTCCAAAATCTATGGGATGCAACATAAGCAATTCTAAGAGGGAAACTCATAATGATACAGGCCTACCTCAAGAAACAAAAAAAAATCCCAAATAAACCATCTAACGTTATACCCAAAGGAACTAGAAAAAGAGGAACAAAGCCCAACATTAGTAGAGGGAAGGAAATAATAAAGTCCAGAGTGGAAATACATGAAATAGAGATTGGGGGAAAAAAAAAAGAAAGAAAAGATCAGTAAAAGTAAGAGCTGGTTCTTTGAAAAGATAAATAAAATCAGTAGCCAAACTCAAGAGTAAAAGAGAGAGGACCCAAATAAATAAAATCAGAAATGAAAGAAAAGTTACAACCGACACCACAGAAGTACAAAGGGTAAGGGGTGCCTGGGTGGCTCAGTCGGTTAAGAGTCAGACTTCAACTCAGGTCATGATCTCACGGTTCGTGGGTTCAAGCCCTGCTTCAGGCTCTGTGCTGACAGTTTAGAGCCTGGAGCCTGCTTCAGTTTCTGTGTCTCCCTCTCTCTCTGCCCCTCCCCTGCTCAAAAATAAATAAA